ATAATATTCCAAAATTCATCTTAATCCTAACGCTCTTCCATTCTTACATATTCGGTCGTCTTTAGCCCGAATTCTGAAACGTCACTCAAATATCTACTTTCGTAAGCAGTGCTTATAATTTAAGAGACGTCAAAACTTAAGTGGAATTCACAAACGCAAATCAAGACATCTAAGCGCGTGATTCCGTAAGTAGACGTAACATTTTTACGTCATGGCAACAACCTCTGTTCTGTGTCAAAGAGTATGTAGAAAAGATTTGTTCTCAATTACATTTTCTTAAAATTAACTTTTTGTATCCGGTTCACGCAGCAAGGGTTAGACAATATGTAGTTGTAAGATGAGTTAATTCCCAAATCTCAAAGAATATTCAAAAAATACTGTATGTTATGAGTATTTCGTATTTTTTTTATTTAAAGCGAAGAAGATTATAATAAAAGAATATCATATCTGTTTTAATTTTTTTTTAACAAAAAATAAATAATTTTGACCGTATTTTTGTAGAATGGAATGCACCGGACATTATTGTTTATTTTGATATTGTGATTTACGAGAAAATACAGGTAAGCAGAACACAGTATATGGGTTTTTTGGTGAATTCAATAACAGTTTTTGTAAATAATAACTTTATACTTGTGATGTAGAAATACGTCAGTATGCAAAATCGGCAAGAAGTACTTTTCATGTGGATATATTTTTGTTTTTGACTTTTTGGTTATAGATACGTAATTTATTTACATGAATTGTTATTATTATTCTTTCAGAATTTTCGGAAAATTGGCACATAGAATTGAGACATAAAACAACTTTCAGTGGTTTTAGAAGACGGAAATGTTTCTGAAGATGGTTTGGAAGATGAAAGTGAAGATGACGAAACCTTTTTAGCTTATGCAAGAGAGATAATTCAAGAGAAAGAAGACGAGGATGCAGAGGATCATGAAGATCCTACCTATAGCGATCCACCACTGGTTCAAGATTGTCCTGACTCATTGAGTAAAATTATTTCTTCATTATCCATGCACGAAGGTCATGAATATTTTGTAGTTTGATTAAAGGAAACTTGTTTGGAAAAAAGACATTTTGTATGATATTGTATGATGAATCAAAAATAATTTGCCAACCAAGTACAACAGACTCTGCTATAACTGAACTTGATACACCATATAAATGTTTTTTGCATTACTTTACACCAGAGTTTCTTAAAAAATTGTTGATGAAATTAACTTATATGCAGTGCAAAAAAAAAACCCTTTAATATATTTTAGTATTACTGTTGGGGAGTTAAAAAAATCTTTGGAATTCTTTTATTTATGTCAATGGAGCATTTTCCTAGTGTTTGCTCATACTGGCATTCGAAGATTGGGCACAATCCTGTAAGGAGCGCAATGCCGGTAAAATAATTGTTTCAGAGATTTTTATACACTGCAATGAGCCTAACTAGAAGACCATCGTTCAGCAGAATAGTACTCAATTAAAATTTTTAATAGTAACTGTTATGCATACTGATGTAGATTCACATCAGTAAGTTTTTTGTAAAATATACTTTTTAGAAAAGAAAAAGTTTTATTTCTTCATTTTCCCATAATCTATGTTAAATTTTCCACCTCTCTCAATTTATGGCATTTTAAAAAAAATATATGCATTTAAGGGTTAAGAGAGAATTTTATTGCTTACAAGATAAATATTTTGAACATAAACATTCAATAAGTTTTTATTACATTGATAAATATATTTATTGCTAAAACTTTTCCAGGAAAGGTAAAAGCATAAAAAAACAATTCAAAAAAGGCAAGGGGATGACCTCTAGCAAGCCTATTTTAGAGCCAAGCTAAGAAATGCTGATTTAGAATATAAACATATGATAAATAAACATAAGCTAGAAATGCAAATACTTAAATTAAGATAAAATAAACCTGCCACTGTTAATAATAAAGATTGTATGTTTTTAAAAATAAAAGCAAGTTGAAAAAGAGAAATGTGTATTATTAAGGTTATTCTAACATTGAAATTTTCATTATACTCATTGTCTACAGGTGGATCTGTAAACTCTTCCATGTTCATAATGTCCTCCTCTAACAGTTAATCGTCCTGTAAAAGTGCAATACTGCACATGATATGACGCCAGCAGGAACATTTTTGTTTAAAC